AGAGAGAGAGAGAGTCAATAACTAGGGGGGGGGGGGTGGAGGTGAAGACAAACAGCGGAGACAAACTAACAACTGAGACGGAACTGACCGGCTGTTAAATTTCGCCGGATTCTCTTCCCGTGCCATGTGAAAATCCAAATTCAAATCCGCATCAATTCCCAGACCGAAATAGTTGTTCATCACAAAAATTCGGCTGGTATCCTCGTTCGTGTTGGCCGCATTTGCCTGGATTTGCAACTGCTTCTTTTGGGCGTCCTTTTCCGCTTCGTCCGGTTTGATGACCACGGTCCAGCGGTCCAAACGAATCTTTTCCGCCTCGACCACATCTCTGGGATGTCGTGGTTAGATTAGAATAGTTGGGCAGCAAGGAAGTATATGGGGGTGCGGCGTGGAAAAGTACAGAATGGAGAGAGGTTAAGTAAAACCTATCTTTCATGTTTGCATAACAGACTTGGTGAATGTTTTTCAATACAGCTTAATCGTGAACAGTTGCAGTTGTATTTAAACCTACGCGAGGACGTCGCCTATGCCTTTGTATTAGTGAAATATGATATAACCTAAGCCGCTACAAACTGTCTTGATAAATATCATCCTACACATGAGCAAAGCATATATATATATATATATAACACAATTCTTCACAGACACGACGCAAAAATAAACATAGATTGAAAGAGAAGTAGAGAAACAGAATAAGGAAGAAAACGAAAGCAATCAATTTTGGTTAAAAGGAAAACAACCTATTTACTTGTTTGCTGTACGTAATTTTTATTTTTTGTTTGTTGGCTTGCTTTGCATACGGGAAAAGATGTAACCATACCAATGATTTCGATTCTATGCCATATCCCGCGGTTTCCAGCTAATAACAATCTGAATCCCCAGTCGGGAAGCTCCGATAGAAGCCATATTCGAGCACAATCTCTTCAAACCTCTGCATAATGTCACAACTTACCCAACTCGTTGTTTCTTACAGTCTGGACCTATGTGTGCAAACAGGTTTCGCAGCCCTAGAACAACACGGGGCGTATCGTAGCCCAATACACACGCCCTTTCAGTGAAAGAGATATTTCGTATCGCACCAGATATGTCGCAGGTTAGCGAAGACTAAAACAGATTTGATTCCCCTTAGAGAGGTCTCCTCTACGGCTGTTATGCAACTAACTCCCGCGGTGGAAAAAGCTTTGGACTACTACCAGAGTGTAGTGTTACTCAGTCAAAGTGCAGGAACAGGTTTGTCAGTCTTGCACGCCCAACACTTTAAAGGTGCAAAAGACATACCATAATGATCTACTCTAATTGCTAAACGATTCAGCAACTTTTGAATTGCCATTATCCTATCACCGTCATTATGCACTTCTGTGTGTCTGTGTGTGCGTCAACAGGACGAAGACATCGCCAAAAAGCAAACTTGTTTTTTAGTCTTATTTTTTCTCCCAGTGTTGCCGTGAGAATCCCCGGAGTACACTCTTTGTATAGTAAACTTCAGTGTGCACGAATGAGCGAATGAATCGTGAACTTAGGAGCTAAGACTGTACAGTGTACAGTTGTTTCCACATGGTTGATTTTCATCGGAAATGTGAATCCATTGACCCAAACGAGGGACGAACGAACTAAAGAACCCAAGACCGCATGGGCACAGAGAGAAAGAGAGGGGGAGAGAGAGCAAGCACATCACCCATTCGACCACCGGCCAGATGATCAGATCGTTTTTTATTCATTTTGCCGATAGCAAACCCAATTTTTATGTTTGTTGTAGGCATCATATCGCGAGTCTGTATCACTACAGTGGTTGTTGGTCATTATGAATTATTGAACCTCTGTCATTTTCGTCCAACCAAACGGCCACTATGACTTCTCTCGGAATGTAGAAGGATTAAACATAATCATCAATCTCATGATTCCAAATAAGAATCTATTCTATCGTTAATTTATTTAACATGCAATTATATATTCGATTCTCAGGAGTGGGGCTACGGTCAAGCAAAGGTTGTCTGAGGAAATACGGAAATGGGAAAGATGAGCAGCGTCGATCAGTTTCCAACACTCACAGAACCCTTCATTGTGTGTGTGTGTGTGTACATTCTTTCAATTAGGGACACTACCGAAAGGATGATGCATCTATGTGGACCCGGGCACGTGGCAAATGCGTGCGCGCGCATGTGTGCACAAGCAGGGACACAGATCAACAAGCATATAAGCCCAGCTGATTGATTCCGAATTTGCACGGGACAGAACTGAGGAGAACTTCTAAGTCACATCCTCCAAAAGCCTCAGTATGGTCGGGGATGGGTGACTAGGGTTGCGGCTGGTCACACTTCCCTTGCACCTCGCGAAATGCTCCCATTAGACCAAGCGTCTCAAATAGCCTCTGCTGAGGAAGCTCTACTCACTGCCTTCTCATGGGCGGAGTTGTTTTCCCACCAAAGTGAGAGGATAAAAAGCCGATATCCGGGGCTATAGCCGGGTTGGTGGATCACTGATGGTTCACTTAGGGGAGTTGACCAAAAACCCTGATTCCAAGCCAAAAAAGAAGATACGTACGAACCGCACTCACGCCTTTTCGGTTGTGGCAGTGGTCACCGGCTCGATTGGGTATTGAGGTGTATTGGGCACCTTGGACGTCCAACCCCGTCCGAAGGGCGTATGGCCCGATGAACTGGACACCGGCACCCAATAGACTGCGGTTTTTGACACACCGCCCCGCTGCCTTGCGGGTCAGGCTTTGGCTAGCCGAAGGCTCCGGTTATGGATTCCTCAAGAAAATTCACCTGCCTTGGCCTGGGCAATCTGGCAGTACTCAGTCCATACACCAATCACGGGACATTTTCTTTTTTTATAAAGATTATTGTACCATGATTTGTTTGGCACACAGTCTGTCCTTAGAGAAGTGTAAAATATATATAAGTCACACCGCGAAGATGTACTTCAGATAAGCGAATCCCAAGTATTTTATTGAAAAATAGTTTGCCATTAGTGAATTTCACTTGATATATATATATATATATTGTAGTATTCGGAATAGGATTCGAAATCGAATAGCGCGAACTCGAACTGAAAAC